TGGGAAAGGGGCCAGCAGGTGGCATGGTGGTTAAAGGTACCGGACTCCCACATGGCCATCCATGGTTCAAGTTTTGGACCTAGTGGTTTGTTTTCTCACTTTCCCTCTCTCTTCTTATGTCTCTCTCTGATCGAACTGGAAAATAGTAATAATAGTAATAAATGAAGTTAAATTAAAAAAATTAATTGTGGGGAAAATGCCATCAAACAGGATCATATACTACACAGAAATGTTTCATGAAAGTCAGTTAATTAATGCAGGAAACTTCAAAGCTGTTTAAAAAATTGCCACTGCCACCCAAACCTTCAGTAACTACCACCCTTATCATTCAACAGCCATCTTTTTTTAAAGAAAGACTCTCCCATAAGCAAAAGGATTATGATTCTAAAGATTCAGATGAGGGACTGGCAAGTGTCATGGTGGTTAAGGAACCAAACTCTCATATGGCCAACTGCAGTTCAAGTCCTAGACCTGGTGGCTTGCTTTCTCACCCTCCACACACAGCCCCTGTACCCATCTCTCTCTCTCATCAAATTAAAAAAACAATAAAAATATGGGGCCAGCAGGTGGTATTGTGATTAAGAGCACTGGACTCCCACATGACCTGGTGGCTTACTTTCTTATTTCCTCTCTCTCTCTCTCTCTCTCTCTCTCTCTCTCTCTCTCTCTCTCGTCAGTTTTAAAAATAAACAAATGGGGGACCAGCAGATGGCATAATGGCTACATCACTGGACTCCCATGTAGTCAACCACGGTTTAAGTCCCAGACCCGGTGCCTTAAACTCACGCTAGGCACATGCATGTGTATGCCTAAGCTCCTGAGAAGAGAATGGGAGAGAAGGGATTACGGCGTGGCCATCCCCTCTAGGGATGATTTCTCGCTTTCTATCTCTTTGTCTCTCTCTGAATTTCTAGCGAGTGCACATGCCCTATAGCAAAAGAACTCTCCAAAAAAGAAAAAAATAAAGTTAATATTTTAAATAATAATAAAATTAAATAATTCTAAAAAAAAATTTTCAAACACATTCAAACTATTAGATCAGCAGGTGGAATGCTGGTTAAGATGCTGGACTCCCACATGGCCAATTACAGTTGAAGTACCAAACCTGGCAGCTTGCTTTCTCACTCCTCCACCTGTTCTGGTGAGCACACATACCCTTATGGCAAATTTTTATTTAAATAATAATAAATAAAAGTGAATAAATAACTTTTTATTTTCATTTCATTTTATTTTAGATGCATGCCCAAAGTCCCAAGAGAATGGAGAAGGGATTTTGGCGTGGCTATCCCCCCAGGGAGTGATTTCTTGCTTTCTGTCTCTTTGTCCCTCTCTGTCTCTCTGGTGAGTGCACACACCCTATAGCAAAAATCTCTTAAAAACAAATAAGGCGCTTCCACCAAGGACGAGTTACACCGTGCTGTCATGAGACGCTTTAAGTTCATCAACCTTGGTATCAACTTGACAGAACCTATGTTCAGAGTAATTTATAGGGGGGGTTGAAAGCATCAAGATGACTCACAGGATGTAATAGAGAAAGCTGTGCAGATTGGTGTTAAAAAGTTTATGATTACAGGTGGGAATCTCCAAGACAGTAAAGATGCACTGCATTTGGCACAAACAAATGAGATGTTTTCCAGTACAGCTGGATGTCATCCTACAAGATGTGATGAATCTGAAAAGAATAACCCTGATCTTTACTTAATGGAGTTGCTAGATCTTGCTGAAAACAGTAAGAGGAAAGTTGCAGCAATAGGGGAATATAGACTTGATTTTGACCGAATGCAGCTTTGTTCCAAACATACTCAGCTCAAATATTTTGAAAATCAGTTCGAACTATCAGAACAAACAAAATTACCTATGTTTCTTCATTGTGGAAACTCACACGATGAATTTTTGGACATAATGAAAAGAAATAGAGACCGGTAGTTGCTGGAGTGGTGCACTCGTTTGATGGTACCAAGGAAGTAGCAGCTGCTTTGACTAACTTGGATCTTCATATAGAGTTAATGGTTATTCACTAAAAACTGAGGCTAACTTGGAAGTTTTGAAGTCAATACCTAGTGAAAAATTAATGATTGAGACTCATGCACCTTGGTGTGGAGTCAAAAGTACACATGCTAGATCAAAATATATAAAAACTACATTTCCTACCCAAAAAGAAGTGGGAAAATGGACATTGTTTAAGAGATCAAAATGAACCCTGCCATTTAATTCAAATATTAAAGATAATGTCAGCAATAAGAGGTGAGAATCCCCTGGAGTTAGCCAATACACTATATAACACCACCATTAAAATATTTTTTTCCTGACATGAAATTGGTAATGTCTTCCATTTTCTATCAAGTTTATAAAATTTCATGTAAAACTGAAAGTTTCAATAAAGAAGTTATATGAAAAAATAAATAATTAAAAAGATAGACAGATAGATAAAAGATCAGCAAATGGCGTAATGGTCACATCGCTGATCTCCCATGTAGTTGACCATGGTTCAAGTCCCAGAACTGGTGGCTATCCCATCAGGCTAATATGGGACCTCTAATCGGAAACAATGCAAGCAAGGAAAGAATGGGAAAATATATTCAAAGTGTTAAGTGGAAAATAATTTCAACCAAGAATACTAACCTGGCAAGATTATCCTTCATATGAGAAGAAAAAAAAAAATGAAAACATTGTCAGATAAACAAAACCTAAAAGAATTTACCAACACCAAACCAGCTCTCCAGGAGCTGAAGGGAGTGCTGTACCCGGAAAACTAAGTCAGACACAAAGAAGTAAGAGTACAAAAAGCAACCAAGAGGATGGCCAACTTCATAGTAGGAACAAGTCTGGAAAGATCAATAATAATATTGAATGTTAACCTCCAGAATTTAACTGGAAAGATCAGACCACAGTAATACTGTAAATTCAATATAAGAGAGATTAATTACATGAGACTGAACTGGCAAAATAGAAATTTTATGACTTTTGACTAAAACAGTACTGATTTTCTTCTATGCTTTGTTTTCCAGATTTAAGAATTTTTGTCTTCTCTTAAACTGTTGGTAAGTTCATCTACCTACTGTTTGAAATGAATCCTAACCTTCTTCCTGGCTTTAAGTCTTAAGCAAATTTCCCTTAACTTTTTTTTATTTTGATCTATTAAAACTAAAACTTTTTCTCAAAAAAAAAAAAAAAAAACATTTAAAAAAAAAAACCTATTTAGAGGCCGGCAGGTGTCATGGTGGTTGTTAACGGCGCTGGATCCCCACAAGGCTGACTGCAGTTCAAGTCTCAGACATGGCAGCTTGCTTTTCACTTTCCCTCCCTCTCTTTCTCTGTGTCTGTCTGGTGAGTACATGTGCTGTATTGCAAACTAAAAATAATAATAATAATAATACATTAATAAATTATTTAAAAACACACAGGTTTATTTTTCCAAGGTATATGTGAGTATATGGGCAAAGGAGTAGAATATGTAGAAAGATGAATCAGTGTCATCCAGGCCTGTGCTGTCTTTGAAGGGATTCATCATGTGCCTGCATCTCTTGATGTATGAAAAGATATGCTTTACCAGTGACCAACGCCGCTGCGGGGGGAGGGATGATTTCTCATTTTCTGTCTCTCTGGCAAGCACATATGCCCTATAGCAAAAAACATCTCCAAAAAAAAAAGACTAGCAGGTGCATGGTGGTTGGTGGTTTAAGGTGCTGGACTCCCATATGGCCAATCACAGTTCTAGTCCCAGATGGGGCAGCATGAAAATCGCATCTATGGGGTCCAGCAGATGGTGTAGTGGTTACATCACTGGACTCCCACATGTTCAACTACAGTTCAAGTCCCAGACCCATAGCTTGAAAATCATGCTAGACACATGTATGTGCATACCCAATCTCGAGAGGAGAATGGAGGAGAAAGGACTGCAGCATGGCCATCTACCCAGTGGGGGGAGGGGGGTGAATTCTCTTTCCATCTACCTGTCTCTGTCTCTCTTTCTGGCAACCACACATGCCCTATGGAAAAAACGTCTTTTAGAAAAAGGGGGAAAAAAAAAAGAAATTCACACCTATGTACGTATACAAAGCCCAAGAGAATAGAGGAGAATGACTGTGGTGTAGCCATCTCCCTGGGGAGTAATTTCTCACTTTCCCTCCCTCTCTCTCCAGCAAGCACACACGCCCTATGGCAAAAACCTAAGTATTTATACATATTTTTATACACACACACATATTAAGTATTGAGCCAATAGGAGGCGTAGTAGTTGAGGCACTTGATCCCATATGGCCAACTCCATGGGGTTCAAGTCCCAGACCCAGCAGCTTGAAGACTGTGCCAGGCACATGGGCATGCATACCCCAAATCCCAAGAGGAGAATAGAGAAGAGATTTTTTTAAAAAACTTAAGTATTACCTAGTTTTTTATAGGAGGAAAAATATCCTCCAAAATAAATAATCTAAAAAATAATAAATTAGGCCAGCTGGTGGCAGTGTCAAAGTGTTTAAGACAACTGGACCCCACATGGCCATGTTCCAGTCTCCAACCCAGTAGCTTAAAAAATATGCTAGGGATCTGTGTGCATGTGCTCAAAATTCCAAAAGGAGAAACAGGAAAAGGAACGGCGATGTGACTATCCCCGTGCAGGGGTGGCTTTCTCACTTTCCTTCTCTGTCTCTAATAAGCACATGCGCTCTCTGGCAAAAATTCTTAAAAGAATAAATTTATAAATAATAACACGAAGTCTCCTCCTGGCTGTATCAAAACCACCACTGAAAATAGCTGATGGCTTAGGACTGCCCTATTTGCTAAAGCCTACTTTCTAAGACATCGATTTCAACATTTTTGACTAATAAAGGTATGATGTAACCTCCAAAATATATATACTGAAATCAAGCACCACCCAAAAAATTATCCCCATCTAAACTACAAAGAAGACATGCGCAAGCAAAAAACCTCAGGGAATAAAACCCTCACATCACGAAAAACAGACAAACCGTATTAACCCAAGAGAAAGACAATTAACTTACTAGCATGTTTGTCCGCAAGCATTATAAGCGTGTTGGAAATATCGCGTCGTCTATAAAAGCACACTACTTTTGCTTCCACGTTGCCACTTGCAGTCTAAGAAATAAGAAAAAAATAAGTCATATTTACTAATTTTTTTTTCATTTGCTATAAGGGTGTGTGCTTGCTTACTGAAGACAGAGAAAGGATAGGAGAAGGAGAACATGAGAGTGGTAAAGGACTAGGAGGAAGATGGGGTTGAAGGGGTTGAGGGGAAAGGTGGGGGGATGGGCAAGCCACATTCTTTTCTCTTCTCTTCTCCTCTTGGGATTTTGGATATGCACGCACACAAGCCTGTCATGTTTTTCAGGCAGCTGGGTCTGCGACTAGTTGCCTTAGCTGCCTTAAACACTCTACCCACAGCTGGCCCTTTACTGATATTATGATAATAAAGTCAAATAACTTATAAAACAAAACTAGATACAACACAGTTAAAAGATCCCTTTAATTTACACTGTTCCAACCACAAGTGCAAGATAACCAGAGAGCTACTGAATTCAAGTAAGGATGAGCAACATTTGTATAGGCTCCAAGTACAACTGCAATGTCAAACATGAAGTAACTCACTGGCACCAATTTGAACTAAAGTGATTAGACTGCTTTAATGACTAAAGCTAGACATACTTAATTCTGATTAGCTTTAAGAAACTAATCCTCCACATTTTTAAAGCTACATCATAATTTATTTAACACATTTAAAAATATCTCCTTCAAACCCATTCCCAGAAAGCACAGCCTAAGTCTACAATCACCCTGATGCCGAAGCTCTATAGGTGCATATCAGCCACCATGCAGAACGGACCAGGTGACCTGGAAAGCATCCTCCAGGCCAAGAGAGTCTGAGCTCATGACACTCAGTATTTGTGGTACTTAGTTTTAACCTTCACACAACAAAGTATTAAAAACCTTGAGTTATGAACACTGAAGCTCTTATGTCTTTTTGACTACAGCATAGAATACACTCAATATTCAGTTAGATTGTAATTTACTGCACCTGGGGCCAAGGCTCCTCGTCTTCTCATTTCTATGAATTCTGAGAGCTATCAGGAAGTTCAATCATTCATTACAAAGCTCCTCATAAAACACAGATATTACAACAAAATGCTACTGTGATTTCCATTTTCAAACAAATGTGCGAACAAGTCTTCAGAATTTATCTGAGCTTACAGGTATATTCAAATATAAAGAAATAATAAAATATGTGCTACAGTGATTTTGTCAATGTTATGAAATTCAGCAGCAGCATTTTACAGTGAGAAGGTCTTACAAAAGTAATGCCCCTTAACACTGAAATCGTATTAAATTCCTAACCAAATGCTATTATTTCTTAATGGTACGATCAAATACATCCTCCAGAAGTAATGATTCAGAAACCCCCTAAATGGGCAGCTCAAATTTCCACATAAATAAAATCTATCAATGATTTCAACTGTAATTTTTTTGTCATTCTGGTCTTTCTGACAAAATCATGTCAAGAACTCAAAACAAACATTTCAATCTATATTTTTCGGTCTCATGATTGACTTTCTCCAACAAGGGTGCCCTATACAGCTCAGAAATTCTTTCCTTTTTGATTGTCATAGGATACATGAGCTTGCCAGAGAGAGAAAGAGAGAAAACATCTTTTTTTTTTTTTTTTTGGGGGGGGAGAGGTTTTTGCTATAGGGCACATGCACTTGCCAAAAAGACAAGAGAGAGACAGATAGTGAGAAATTACCCCCCCCAGGGGGAATGGCCAAGCCGCAATCCTTTCTCCTGCATTCTCCTCTTGGAATCTTGGGCACACACGCACACACACCTAGCGTGAGTTTAAGCCACTGGGTCCAGGACTCGAACCACAGTTGACTAAATGGGAGTCCAGCGACATACCCATTACGCCGGCTGCTGGTCCCCCAAAAGCATCTCTCAATAGGACATCATCAGACCACAATCCCTTCTCCCTTTCATCAGGATTTTGGGCACATCCCCACCATACTTTTAAAGGTGTTGGGATCAGGACTTGAACTGCAGTTGGTCAAGTGAGATTTAGCTATCATAACTGTTCTATTACTGGTCTGGCCCTTAATTTCTAATTTAAACCCACTTGAAAGGCAGGGAGCATAGTTCAAAATATTTTCTCTGACCCTTGCACACACTTTGCTGTTGGGTAGTTTATAAATACAGTATTCCTTTTTTTAATTTTAGAATTTTTTTAAATTTAATTTTATTTATTCATTCATTCGCTTTAATATGACCAGAGAGAGAAAGTGAGAAAGCAAGCCACCAGGTCTGGGACTCTCGGCCATGTGGGAGTATGCAGTACCTTAACCATTACGCCACCTGCTGGTAATACCTCCCTTTTTAAGAAAAATTTTTAACTTTATTTATTTAATTAGGCCATGTGGGAGTCCAGTACCCTCTACCACTGCACCACCTGCTGCCCCAACTACAATATTCTTTTTTCCACCTACAAAATATACATACCCATCCCTCAGGCGGTACTCTTGAATTAGTTACTCAAATTGTAGTTTACAACCCCCAAACCCCAGCAGTCTACAACTTTTATTGGTGTGTAATGAAATGAGTGCAAAGATTGAGGGTATGTATATTCTAGCAATTTCTTAATTTATTTCATACAGCCATGGCTGAAAGTAGATTCAGATCCCCTGGTCAGCTTGAAAACACATGTCCAAGATCCGAAGGAGCAGAAAGGCTGGAGAAAGGGGATCGTGGCCCATGGCTATCAGCACTGCAGTGCAATATGCTACTAAAAGTGGGGCTACGCCAATAGTCTTTTTTATTTTTAAAGATTTATTTATTTGGGCAGGCAGGTAGCATGGTGGTTAAGGTTGCTGGCCTCCCACATAGCCAACTACAATTCATGCCCTAGACTTGGTGGCTTGCTTTATCACTTTCCCCTCTCTTTCTCTGTGATCAAACTGGAAAATAATAATAATAATTAATAAAATTAAATTTAAAAATAATTTTCAAAAAAAAATTAATTTTGGGACCAGAACTTGGCATAATGGCTATGTCACTGGACTTCTCATGTAGTTGACTGCAGTTCGAGTCCCGGACCCAGTGGCTTAAACTCACACCGGGTGCATGTGTGTGCGTGCCCAAGATCCCGGAAGAGAAGAAAGGAGAAGGGATTGTGGCATGGTCATCCCCCCCAGGGAGTGATTTCTAGCTTTTTGTCTCTCTATCTCTGTCTTTCTGACAAGCGCACGCATCCTATAGCAAAAATCTCTCTAGAAAAAAAAAAAGAAAGAAAAGAATTATTTACTATCATTTATTTTTATTATTTTAATTTGCTATAGAGCATGTGAACTCCTCAGAGACAAACAAGAGACAGAGACAGAGAGAGAAATGGAAAGTGAGAACGCAAACTGTCAGGTCTGGTACTCAACCATGGTCGGCCATGTGCTTGGCCACGGATTCCAGCACCTTAACCACCATGCACCTGCCAGCCCCATTCATTTATTATTATTATTTTCATTTGCTATAGGACAATTGCACTCACCAGAGATAGAAAGTGAGAAAGATAGCAGTCAGGTCTGGGACTCAAACTGTGCTCATCGGGGCAAATAGGTTGCATGGTGGTTAAGGGCTCCCACATGGTTGACTGTGGTTTAATTCCCAGACCTGGTGGCTTGCCAGGCTTCTAACTTTCTGTCTCTTGCTCTGTCCCTCTCTGATCAAATTTAAATAAATAAATAAATAAAGTTAAATAAAATAATTATTTTTTAAAGAAGTCTCTTACTCTTGCTCTGTCCTTCTCTGGTCAAATTTAAATAAATAAATCAATAAAGTTAAATAAAATAATTCTTTAAAAAAAAAAGTGGTCGGCCATGTGGGAGTCCAGCACCTTAACCACCACACCACCTCATGGTCCCCAATATAAGCCTTATTAAATGTAGTTTTTGGGTTTTTTTCTTTAATTTTACAAAAATACCAGAAAGTGAAGGTTTTTTTTAGATTTTTGCCACAGGGTGCATGCACTAGCTGGAGAAAGATGAGAAACTGAGAAATTACCCCCCCAAGGGAAGTAGCCACACTGCAATCCCTTCTCCTCTATTCATATCTTGAGAGTTTTGGGCATGCATAAATATACACGTCCCAACATGACTTTCAAGCCACAGGATCCAGGACTCAAACCATGGTCAGTCACATCGGAGTCCACCACCTTAACCACCATGACATGGTTAAAATAATAATAAACAAAGTGAAACAAATAATTCTTTTAAAAAAAATCTATCAGGGGAGCCAGCAGGCAGCCTGGTGGTTAAAGTGCTGAACACTCCCACATGGCGGACCATGGTTTGGATCCTGGACCAGGTGGCTTGCTTTCTCACTTGCCCCCTCTCTCTCCATGTCTCCCTCCAGTCAAATTAAAATAAAATGAATAAATTTTAAAAATTATATCAATAATTCTAAAAGAAGAAATCTATTGGGGCCAGCAGATGGCATAGCGGTTAGGTCGCCGGACTACCACATAGCTGGTCACGGTTCAAGTCTCAGACTTGAGTTTTAAGTGGATTGAAACTCACACCAGGCGTATGTGTGTGTGTATATGTGTGTGTGTATGCCCAAAATCTTGGGAGGTGAAGGGTTTGGGCCTGCAGTGTGGCCATCCCTGCTGGGAGATGATTTCTCACTTTCCCATTGTCTCTCTCTCCCCCCCAGCAAGCACACAACCCTAAGACAAAAAAAAAAAAAAACTCTTAAAAAAAAAGCCTATTACTATTGGGCCAGCTTTGGTAGTACATGCTCCTATGTGTTGTATTCCACTGGTTAGAACTACATGAGAAGCCAAGATTAAATTCCCAGTTCAACCTAAAGGCTGGGAACAGCAGTATAAACCTGTAGTCCCAGGGACTCGGGGAGGCTCAAGAGGATCAGAAACTCAAGCTGGCCCAGCAATATAGTAAAATTCTATGGTTTTTTTTTGTTGTTGTTGTTGTTTAAAAATGGGCCTAGGACCAGCAGGTGATGTGGTGGTTAAGGTGCTGGGCACTCCCACATGGCTGACCACGGTATGTGTCCCGGACCTGGCCGCTTGCTTTCTCACTTTCCCTCTCTCTGATCAAATTAAAATAAATGAATTGATGAATGAAATTAAATAAATAATTAAAGGGAAAAAAAAGATAGGCCAGCAGGTGTCATGGTGTTTAGGGCAGCTGGATCTCACATGGCCGACTTTGCAGTTCAAGTCCCAGACCCACCAGCTTAAAAAATTCATGCTAGAAATCCTGAGAGGAGGGACCAGCAGTGGTGTAATGGCTATGTCCCTGGACTCCCATGTAGTCGACTGCAGTTCGAGTCCTGGAACCGGTGGCTTAAACTCATCCCAGGCACATGTGCATGTGTGCGCAAGATCCTGAGAGAAGAATGGAGGAGAAGGGATTGCAGTTGTAGCCATTCCCCCTTGGAGGTGATCTCTTGCTTTTTGTCTCTCTGTCTCTCTCTGTCTTTCTGGCGAGCTCACATACCATAGAGCAAAAACCTCTCAAAAAAAAAAGAAAAATCCTGAGAGGAGAACAGAAAAGGGATTACAGCACGGTCAAGCCCCCTGGGAGGGTGATTTCTCACTTTCCCCTCAGTCCCCCCAAACCTGTCTGTCTCTTTCTGGTGAATTCACACACCCTATAGCAAACTAAAAAAGACAAAGACAGTGACCCAAGTGTAGTACAGCACATCTATAATCCTAGCTAGCAGGCTGAGGTGGGAGGATTTCAACATGGTAAGAGCCTGTCTCTACATACGGGCACACACACACAGATAAGACAAGTTACTACTGCAATAAAACAAAAGAAAGAAAGGATTCAGTTCCGCTTTCAAACTGAGCATATAAGACTTGGGGATCCAAGTGTAACTGTTTTTGTTAAAATAACAATCGAGGGACCAGCAGATGGCATAATGACTATGTCACTGGACTCCCATGTGGTTGACCCTGGTTCGAGTCCCAGACCTGGTGGCTTAAACTCACACCAGGCCCATGTGTGTGCATGCCCAAGGTCCCAAGAGGAGAATGGAGGAGAAGGAATTGCGATGTGGCCATCCCCCCTGGGGGGGGATTTCTCGTTTTCTGTTTCTCTGTCTCTCTCTGTCTTTCTGGTGAGCGCATGTGCCCTACAGCAAAAAACCTCTCCAAATATAATGATAATAAAAAAATAGTAATTGATAGGGACCAGCAGGTGATGCAGGTAAGTGGTTAAAGCGCTAGACTCCTACATGGCTGACTGCATTTCAAGTCCTGAACTCGGTGGCTTCAAGCTTATATCAGGTACATGTGTGACTGCCTAAAGTCCCGAGAGGAGAATGGAGAAGTAATTGCAGCATGGCCTTCCTCCCCCCGCAAGAAGGGGTGGATGATTTCACATTTTCTCTCTTTTTTTTTAATTATTTAACTTTATTTATCCATTTATTTATTTGTTTGTTTAATTTAACCAGAGAGGGACAGAGTGAGGGATAGAGAAAGGGAAAGTGAGAAAGCAAGCCCAGGACTTGAACCACACTTGACCACACGGGAGTCCAGCACCTTAACCACCACACCACCTGCTGGTCCCTCTTTTATTTTTAAAGAATTATTTCACTTGGGGTCGGCAGGTAGCATGGTGAATAAAGGTGCTGGACTTCCAGAAGGCCCTGTTTCAAGTCCCAGATCTGGCAGCTTGGTTTCTCGCTTTCCCTTTCTCTCTTTCTCTGTCTGATCAAATTAAAAAATAATAACAAGTGGAACTAAATAAATAAATAATTAATTATCTTTAAAAAAATTATTTCATTTAACTTTATTTTAAATTGACCAGAGAATGACAGAGTGAGAGAGAAAAAGAGAGAGAGAGGGAAAGTGAGAAAGCAAGTCGCCAGCAAGCCGAGGTCGGCCATGTTGGAGTCCAGCACCCTTAACTACCATGTCACCTGCCAGCCCCACAATTTCTCACTTTCTATCTCTCCATCTCTCTCTGTCTCTCCGGCAAACACAAGCATCCTATAGTAAATATCCCTCAAAAATAATAATAGTAACTGACAGCTTATCCCAGAAATTTTGTTTGACAAATTCTATTTAGAGGGGTCCAAGTGGTAGTGCCCAGCAGTATGGCAACTGGACCCACATGGGAGACATCTTGGGTTCACATCCTGGACTCTCCTGTGACTCTTGTCTGAGCTAGTGCTGGATCTCAGCATGAAGACTCATTTGCTCTTGCTCTCACTCTCTGAATAAATAAATAAACTTTAAAAAAAGAAGCGAGGTCCAGTCAATGGCCTAGTGGTCAATGTGGCTGGATCCCACATAACTGATAGCGCAGTTTTGAGTCCCAGACACGACAGCTTGAGAAACACACCAGGCACATATGTATGCATGCTCAAAATCCCAAAGGGAGGAGAAAATGGAGGGAGAGGAATTGTGGCATGATCAACCCCTATGGAGGTGATTTCTATTAATAGTTTCTTTTTGTCCCCATTCCAGTGAACATTAAAAAAAGAAAAAAAGGGCCCAGCAGGTCGAATAGTGCTTAAAATGCTGGGCTTCCACATGGCAGACTGCAGTTCTAGTCCCAAACCCAGTGGCTTGAAAATCATGCCAGGTACATGTATGTGAGTGCCCAAAATCCCAAGAGGAGAATGGAAGAGAAGGGACCGCAGCATAGCCATAACCCCCTGGGGGGTGGGTGATTTCCTACTTTCCCTCTCAACTGTCTAAGTCTCTCTCTTATGAGCACAGACCCTTAAAAAAATAAAAGAAAGAAAGAAAAATAAATCTATGGTTCCTATAGTTTATAACTGCTTTCCAGTGCCTCCATTGTTAAAGCTCATCCACTCTAAGCCAACATAATGCTTGTTATCCTAAACACCTGCAATCAGGGACAAATCTTGGGGTGAGTGTTTTATTTTACGTGGGCCAAAGATACAAAGCTACTTTATATCATTCTATCAAAACTATATTGTTATGATTCTAGCCCAGAATTTTACACATTCCTTTCAATGTTATATTTCCTAACTTTCCCCATTAAAGCCGGAAGAAGAAAAATGAATTCATTAATGAAGAATATACATGGGACCAGCAGTTAGCGTAATGGCTATGTTGCTGGACTCCCACGTAGTCAACCACGGTTCAAGTCTCGGACCTGGTGGCTTAAATTCACGCTGGGCGCGTGTGCGTGTGTGCCCAAGATCCCAATATGAGAATGGAGGAGAAGGGATTGCAGCATGTCCATCCCCCCCTGGGGGGGGTGATTTCTCGCTTTCTGTCTCTCTCTGTCTGGCGAGTGCACACGCCCTATAGCAAAAACCTCTCAAAAAAAAAAAAAAAAAAAAAAAAAAAAATTATGACTTTAAACATATAAAGGGACTAAGTTACAGAAGTAGGTTCTACCACTCAGCAACTCTCAAAGAGTTCTTCCCCCACCCCCCGAGGTCTTTGCTATAGGGTGCATGTACTCATCAGAAAGACAGAAAGACAGACAGAAAGCAAGAAATCATCCCCCGGGGGGATGGCCACACCGCAATCCCTTCTCCTCCATTCTTCTCTCAGGATCTTGGGCACGCGTGAGTTTAAGCCACCAGGTCCAGGACTTGAACCGCAGTCGACTACATGGGAGTCCAGCAACATAGCCATTACGCTAACTGCTGATCCCTCTCAAAGAGTTCATTGAGAGTTTGATCAATTTGAAGAAATCTATAGAATATTAGACATTCAATAACAAAATGTATTATCAGAAAGAAAAATAGGTGATTATAAGGGGGGAAAAAAGAGTATTTATAAACCAACATATTCTCTAACCTGAAATCTCTACTTTCAGAGTCTGGAGCTGGATGTAAAATCCCCTCTTTTGCCCTTTACCCAACTGCCCTTCAATGAACAACAAATTGTTTTTTTTAATACTAAAATCAAAAACAGTACATAATATACCTTATTGAGTTCTTCTATCCTTCTGATTAGATATGGATTGCTGGAGGAATTCTCAAAGTAGACATAATCTGTAATTAAAGAAATACAGAATAACCTTTTCAACAGAAAAATTCGTATTTGTCATCTATGGCTTTCTTTTTTTTAAGAAATTGTTGCTACAGGGCATGTGTGCTCTCCAGAGAGATGGGGAGACGGAGACAAAAAATGAGAAATTACCCCCCCAGGGCGGATAGCCATGCCACAATCCCTTCTCTTCCAGTCTCCTCTAAGAACTTTTTTTTTTTTGATATATGGTACATGCACTCACCAGAGACAGAGGGATAGAAAGTGAGAAATCACCACCCTGGGGGGATGGCCACACTACAATCCCTTCTCCCCCATTCTCCTCTCAGGATCTTGGGCACACACACACACACACACATGCCTGGCATGAGTTTAAGCCACCGGGTCTAGGACTCGAACCACGGTCGAACACACATGGGAGTCCAGCATTATAGCCATTACGCCAACTGCTGGTCCCTCCTCTAAGGCCTTTAGGAACACATGCACAAGTGCTCGGCGTGAGTTTCAAACCACTGGGTCCAGAACTTGAACTGCAGTCGACCATGTAGGAGTTCAGCAATATAACCATTATGTCATCTGCTGATCCCCAATCTATGGCTTTCTACAGAAGGCAATTCACATTCAAAATTAAGTATGTTGGCCAGCTCTGTGTAATGAGCTGCTCCAGACAAGCCAGATTCCACATGGAGGCTAAGGTTCAAATCCCGAGCCTAGTTAATTTGAGACATGACAGTCAAGTGCATGAGTGCCCAGGATCCCAAAGGCTGGAGGAAGGGGACTGTAGCATGACTGGACTCTGTGGGAAGGTCCTCTTTTCATTCTCCCTCCCTCCGTTTCACACTTGCATACATTCTATCATACATAAGGGGAAATAATTTTTTTGAAGAATTTATTTTATTTATTCATTTATTATCACTTTTTTAATTTGATCAGAGTGAGACATAGAGGGAGAGAGAGAGGGAAAGTGCGAAAGCAAGTCATCAGGTCCAGAACTCGAACCGTGGTTGCTTATGTAGGAGTGTCCAGTGCCTTAAACACCACGCCACCTGCTGGTCCCCAAGGGGCAATAATTTTTAAGATCAAAAGTAAGCGTATAATTTACTCGCTCGCAAAAAAATAATAGTAAATTAAAAGTGCACCCTTAATATAGTCTCTCAGGCCAGCCAGTGACATGGTGGTTAAGGCAAGTGGATCTCCAAGCGCCCAACTATGTGGTTCTGGACCCCAAGGCTTGAAAAACACTCTGGGTGGGACCAGCAGATGGCGTAGCAGTTACGTCACTGGACTCCCTCCCATAAGGTTGACTGAGGCTCAAATCTCAGATCTGATGGCTTGAAACTCACATCGACCCTGTTTGTATACGTGCCCATGATCCCAGGAGAATGGAGACAGGATTGCGGAGTGGCCATCCCGCAGAGGGCGAATTCTCACTTTCCCTCTCACTGTGGCTGTCTTCTTTCGGGTGAGCAAACACACCCTAAAGAAGAGGAAAATACTTTGAGCAGGTATTCATGCATACCCACCCAAAATCCCAACAGGAGTGAGAAATGGAGAAAGGATAGGATTTGACCATTCCCCAGAGAAGGTGCTTTCTCATTTTCCTTTTTTCTCTTTCTCCTTATCTCAAAGAGCGCACATGCCCTCTAGCAAAATTTATATCTATATACTGTCTCAAGTGCTTACATATTTCCATTTCAACTAATGTTTCAGCAAGATCTCCTAGACTTTCATCACACGCGTTATTTCTCTAATAATAAACAAAAAGGCACCTCTTCTCACTGAGTTGTCAGGGCTCACGGAACACGTGTCCTCTGTACTCTAACTGCTCCCACATCCTTCCTCTCCAGTTCAATCTGCCCTGGAGTATGCTTCTCACATAAAACTATTGACCTAAGACAAATTCAAAGCATCTGCAAAGGCTTAACAGCCCAGCCTACATTTCAATCACCAACTTAAAAAAATAAAAGCAAAAGCCAATCAGATGAGCAGAGCAGGTAAGAGGAAGCTTGTTGACAACTAGTCCATAGCTCTACCTGTAAAGATTAGAAAAGTTAGGCCAGCATGGAGGGGGGCACTTTTTGGGACAGGGCCCTAGGGGGGCTATCAGCACTCCTTTTTTTTTTTTTTAATCCTTTTGCCATATTTAATCCAGATATTTAGAATCCTGTTATAAATTGCTGCAGGTTTTCAACAGAAAGGATAAAAAATGTTTCATGTGGCCTTTCCTCCCACCCTACAGGCCCTGGAAAGAACCCACTGTGTGCGTGTTGGGAGGCTAAACAGCATGGTTAGTCTATGCTGGTTGTTCGCCCGTCTCTCTTCTCTGCAAAGTGGCCTCATTTCGCCAGGCCATTCTCACCACCATCCGTCAGGAGCTGAGCTAATGAGCAGAGAAGAGCAAGTCTCACACACAAACACGCCACTTATCTGAATTATTATTTTACCAGGAAAGAGGGAGGAGGGCGTCGTGAGCAGGAAAGTTTGTTTGACCTTATTTCTCTCTTCTGCAGAGGGCTGGGAAGGAGGCAGTCGGCAGAGCAAACGTCCAGGCAGAGCTCAACTCCCCACCTCTGGCTGCGGTGCCCTGGGCCCGCTGAGCCCCATTTTTGGGGGGCTGGACAAGGAACCGAAGGGGGAACGAGGTGCAGGGGCCTGGTCCCGCAAACAGGCCTGTCCAGCTGTGCCCCCGGCTGGGCCCCCATCGTCCCCACCCCCACTCCCACTCAAGGTGAGGTGTGGAAGGGGTGTCCCTCATCCTCTCCAATCCCCACTGCCTGGAGCCCACGCGAAAATGCCACCCTGTACGAGGCCCGAC